GGCAATGTCAACATTGGAAATTTGGCAGAAGTTTTTTCTGATCATCTCAGTTCAACTGAGATATAGTATTTAGTAGACAGCATTCTCACTCCTGAGGACATGGAAGCTAAAACAGTAATCACATTATCCCCACAAAGCATAAGGAAAGAAGAATTTCAAGAGTTTGATAAAGTTATTGTGAAAAGATTTTACATGAGCCTGTGGTCCCTAAAAGAACTTTTAATATGCCAAGAGCATATTTTTTTGGTAGTTCTCATAGATATACTAGTTGAATTATACAGTAAAGCAGGAGGAGTTCTATGATATGTGTTACAAAGAGCAGAGGAATCGATCAAATATAGAAATCTAAACACCTTTGGAAGAAGAGAAGAAATCATAAAATTGTCATTGGGCCATATCTCTGATACAATTTTGGAAATTAGAAACTTCGCTGACATTTTGAAGTTTTTTACCAAAAGAAACGAGTGCATTAATATAAGCAATAGGCTTATTCATCAATAGCCTAATATTACATACGATGACTACTATTTAGGGTGGGCTTCAAATTTCATTTTTGAAGAAATCTGAAAAAAACTAGAGGCCAGTGCCTGGAATGATTTATGAGAAAAAATTGGAAATTACAAAGCATTTCCTAGTGCTAGAGGAGTTATGTTTGAATCATACACAATTTACCTTTTTGTCTCTGGAAACTATAGTTTTGAAATAAGGAGATTGGTAAGTTATATAATTGTTGTTAATAATTGTTAGGGTGTCAAACATTAATTTATATACATTTTCAGGATGATTCGAACGAATGCACTATTATCACAGAGAAATACACTGTAAAACATCAACCAAAGGTTGAATACATTTTAAAACCAGAGGAACTTTCAAGTCAAGAAGGAAACAAGGTTATCCTGCCTGCAAAAGCTAACTTCGGTGTAGCAGATTTATTTATCACACCGCAAGATATTTTTCAAGTAACTGTATCACAACACCATCCCATCAAGCAAACCGAGCTTGTAAACCTAGTCAAAAATCTGCCAGCACATATAAAAGATACGGATGCGAAGATTCAGTTTTACTTTATTGTTCCTAATGATATCTATGACACTTTTAAGTACCAATATATTGTAATGCATGACAATGATACAAGTACATTCTGAAAGGTCAAGTCTATCAATCACATCATCAAAGACATAGAACAATAGGTTCTAAAGATTGGTATTAAACCTTGAATAAGTAAATGTATATATGTTATTACTGTATATAGTTTATAGTAATTAAGTCACATGATAATAATTTGATAGAATTTGTTGTTCTGGAATATCTGTAGTCTCGTATGTAATATTAGGCTATTGATGAATAAGCCTATTGCTTATATTAATGCACTCG